CTATTTGTTGGATTTAATCATAAGCCAAAAAAAAAAAATGTTTTCACAGCTTATTTCTGATATTTACTCTAAAATAATATTATTTTGTGTACCCGAGCGGCTCATCACTGTTAATTTAAGGTTGTCGACAGTTTTATTGGATGGAAGCTCCTCAGGCTTTTGTTGGAAATAATCATAATTTTGTGAGATTTCGACTTTGAGTGATTTTTGGTTGCACGATTACTTTCTTTATATGTTTTATATTGTATTGCTATATTTGGGATTTCTGATAGTTCTCACGAGATTCTTAAATAATTGAGTTTATTCTAGAATCATTTATTTTTAATTTCGAAAAATTAACCTACCAAAAATCTCAAGTTATTCCTAATGAAACTATTGTCATACATATTTAATTTCATATCCAGACTTAGTAGATTCAGATTGATTTTAAAGCTACTTGATTTCAATATCTAGACCAATACTTGACTCAATTGTAAACCTTATTACAGACAACCCCAAGAAATCAATTCAGCCAAACATTCCAATACATCTCGCTCGGGATAGAGATTTCCTCTACTCAGGCATTGTATTTTAATACAATAAGTATCGGAAGTTTTCATTTTACGATACACATTGTGAAGAAAGTGAGCTTATAAAATCATGAACAAAAGATTATTTAAATAAAGTAGTTGCTAAGAAGAAGAATTGTCTAACAATCTTAGAAGTGCGAAACAAACTTACATATATACTAATCAATTTTAAAAGTGCTAACAATGCTAAGCAAAAACTAAAAGAAGACGCAAATGTTAGAAGTAAAATATTATCAATTAATTGTTTTTTACTCTTTAAATAAAGACATTTAAGATGTTGTTTAAATAACTCTTTTTTTGTTGTGTTTTTATGTTTATTTCTACACATGTGAAAAATATTTTGAGGACGGGTTGTCGATGATGACATTCAAAACTCTCCTAATTAATGCAAAAAATCGAGATCTTGTGAATGCAATAAATTTATAGGTTAATAAGTTTAGAAGGTTTATATCTGATTGAATAACAAATTAAGGTTTTTATCCCAGCATGAGAGAAAATTAAATGTTGTTAAATATTGCGAATTAGGATTTGCATCCCAAACATAAATCATTCTACCTTAATGCTGCAAAAGATTAATAAAATTCATTGACAAAAGACCTTGTGATGACCGATGATTAATCAATAATTTTTTGGATCTTTAATGTAGAAAAGGTTTTATTAGGTAACGTCTGCCATGTTCTTGAGATTTTTGTATTCTTTTTTTGATGCTGATTTTCTTGTCATTTTAATATCAAAATTCTTAAAAAGCTACTTCAACTTCAAATCTCCAAGATCAATTGTTAATCATTTTCAATGTCAATAAAATTGTCCATAAGATGATAAACGATCCAAAAAAGATGATGAGAAAATATCGACATAACGCCATATAATGCCTAAACATATCAATGAGACACATGGATTGATATGGAAAGTTGAAATGTTGTGCATTTAAAAGAAATCTTTTTTTTTATCACTCCAATAAATAATTCATCAATTTTTCTTGATTTCATTAAGTCCATGAATTATTTTTTTATTGAACGTAAGTTATGAATCACAAGAAGTATATAAAATGCAGCATTTAAAAGCCAATATAGGAAAGAAGTAAATGTGATCAATCATCACTCATATAGTAGCAAACTTATTTTAAATTCATTGCAAAAAAAAAGACGTCGATGATGAAATGTGATTTCCGGTGATCAGTTTTAATTAAAGGCAATTTCCTTAAAGCTCACAGTCCGACATACTGTGCTTTACAGCATACGACTGCAACATAACATATGCTCAATGCTCATGAATAATTCATTAAGAAAGAAAATAAAAATTTCAGACCAGAAGCTATAACTATAATGTTAAAATCAACTTCTTGATGGAGATTTAATCTATTGAGAGTCGCTATTACAGGTAGCGCAGTAATAGTCATGAATGAGAGAGAAAAAAGAGCATTTTTATGAATAAATTACTAGCAAAAAAAGTTTCACTTTCTGTTTCGGAAGCAACATTTAAGAAGTATAAAACAAAATATTAAATTGATCTTAAAAATCGCAATTTTCTTTAGATAAGCAATTTTCACTATTAAAAATTTTTTTCACCTCTTTTGAGTGTCGGTTTATCATGGTGAGAAATCTAATTGAATTGCTGGAAATAAAATTTATAGCTTGAAATAAAAATTGGAGTCATAATTTACTGAAATGTACCAAGAAAGCATCAAGATTTCCCATCGGAAAGTGTAAAATTGCATTAGTTGGTTTAGCTCTTAATAGCTTTAAAGAAAGAAAGAAACATTGAGCCGCAGTGTTTATAGGAGGCAATAATCTTACATTTTCACCTTCTTTCTCGACTGGCTGTGATAAGATAGATGAGCTTTATTCGAGTTTTGGTAATTTAAACACTACAACAATTTAGGAGAAGAGTTAAATTTTGTATTGCCTTAAAATGCTCAAACTTCTTATTAGATTGTTTGCTCTGCGTTTTCGAGTTAAGTTCTCATAATTACGTTCATATTTCAAAAGATATTCAAGTTTAGAAATTGCAAATGCCAGGTCCATTAAAAAATTTTCAAAATTTGATCCATAGTCACTGGTAATCATTAACTTTAAACTTAAATTCAACTGACTAGCTTTCACACTTACTTTGTTGACCATACAGAGGGAGCTGCACCTAAAGTTGGTTTAATCGCTAGTTGTCACTTGGAAAATTTCAATTCACACTGCGTTGCCTTCTCTTTCATTAGTTTCCTAAAAGTTGAAAACAAATTCGATTGACGTCACTTACTAACGACTCCCAGCTTGGTAATAACTTTCAGAAACGAAATTAAACTTTATTATTGTCGATGGGAGGAATAAAAATTTCAACTTTGATCTCACAATTTCCTTCATAATGATTAATGTACAATATAACGCCTTAAGACTGTAAGCATTTTAACACTGCTGCCATTAATTTAGGAAGTTGTGTTAATTAATTCAATTTAAAGGAACATGCATATCGAAATTAAATATCTTCTTAATACTATTAAATTGCATGGACCTTAATTTATTTACTCAGTAAAAACACTTATTGAATTGTGATTTAATTTACAGCAACAACTTATTGGCATTTACACATGATTCTCAAAATTTATTATTTATTTAATGGAAAGACTTTCAAAAATTTATTGATTGCATTCACCTTTGATTATTAATTCTTTTTTTTTGTGTCTGTATGCTTCAAAAGCAACCGCACGAACCTATTATGTCCGCATTACACCGCCCATTGATGGTAGAAACAGAGACTCTTTTTTATCTCTCACTGTATTTTTTGCTCATATTTCATTCAACAAGCCATTCAATTCAAACAATTAGAATCGATTTCAATTAACAGTAATTTGTGAAAATGAAAAATTTGTTGACGGTTGTTCATTCTTTTCATTTTCTTTCTTTTTGTCTATTTTACGATCCAAAGAAATGGTGCTATAAATAAAAAAATGTGCCAGTCGAAGCCATAAAAATCGTGTAAAGTTTGCATCCAATAAAATGAAAGTCTTTTAAGTCATTCTAATAGTTTTTATTATTTTTTTCACATGTTTGTGTCGTTTTTTTGAAAATTTATTCAGTTTTAATTTGCAGTTTGGGTGTTTTTGTTTATGATTCGTAGATTATTGCTTACAGGTGGATTTTTAAAGATTTTAGTCGGTGCTCTTAAGTTTGTTGACATGGATCTCCTTAATTCGAGACATTTGCGTTGATTCTGCTTCAATCATTTCTTTTTTTGTTTGAGTCGAATCCTGACAAGCATTTTGAATCTATGATTTTTAATTCAATTTTCATATTTCGAATTTACATAAATTGTTTTTTGGATGCAATAAAGTTTGGCCAAAATCTATCTTCACAGTAAAGTCTAGACTTAAATTATTTCTATCTAGCAATTATTCAATTAACAACAAAAACTAAAACTGCAATTCAACTTGAAAAAAAAAGTCGAATCCGAGCTACATAAAAGCTATATTTTGAAGGCTTAAAGAGTTCGTATGTATGAAATACATACGTATTAGCTTAAATATGGTTGCGTCTCTAGGTTATGAATTGATTTTAAATAAACTAGACCTAAAAAGAAATTACAATCTATCCTGTCCTTAGCGAATGTTCAAGATAAGAACTAAAAAGTCATTAACGAAGATTTATTTACAAACTACAGAGTTATTTACTCCGTACGCAAAATGTAGTACACATTATCGCACTTCAATTATCATACAAAATAGCAAAAAGGGCAATTTAATGATCTTGAACAAGAAATAAGATCATAAATCAAGCGAATGTTCTTGTTATTATGCATAGAAAAAAAATGAGATGAAAATAAATAAATCGCCACAGAAGTCTTGTCCAGTGAGTGTCGAAAATGTTATTTGTTATACACGATTATGGTTAAAAGATCCAAGAAGGAGAAAAAGGCATAAAAATCGTTTTTGTTCACCGTTAAAATATTTTCTTTATGTTATTAATTTGCAAAAAAAACTCTTTTGTTGCTCATGATAGCCACAGTAAGATTACACATTTATTCACAATAAACATTTATGGTTTATGTTAATTGATTGCAATATAAAATTATGAAATTCGTGTATAGTTTTTTCACAAAACCGGCACTGACTCGATCTTTTGCCATGTTCCACAAGTGAAATGGGATACGAATTTGGCGCGGAAAGCTATCAATGTCATTAGTAAAATGCATTTTATTAAATTTATGGTCGAGTTCATGGGCATTTTCACGATGAGAATATTGTGCATTGAATTAATGCACTTTGTTAAGGCAAACGTGAGAAAAAATATTACAAATGGACTCGGATTCCAATTTGAATGTTATCAACTACGTTCCATCACTTAATGTGTTTTATTTTTTACATCCATAAAACAATAGAAAAAAAAAGTCATTATCCAAAAAGAAAAAGCTTTACACTACTTACAATTCCTTCTCATTTTACAGGTTCTATTTCGTTCGGGCGTTCTTAATCAGTTAGAAGCGAAACGTGATGAACTCTTATCAGATCGAATCATTCAACTGCAGTCATATTGTCGAGGTTATTTAGCAAGACGTCGAGTTGGACATCGAAGAGTTCAGGTATGGCATATCATTAGATTTAAATGCTCCATTGTTCTGTCACTGATGAGAGAATGATCTCTTTTTACCAGCTCAGCTACTAGCTAGTTGCTGTGTATTTAAATCATTTCTAATAATTTTCCATATAATTATCATCCTATAGGAATTAGCAGTACGATGCATACAAAGAAATGTTCGTGCATTTATGCAGGTACGCGATTGGCCCTGGTGGCGATTATTGGTGCGAGTCACTCCACTCTTAAACGTTCATCGTACAGAAGAACAACTGAAAATAGCAAACGACGAATTGACGATGCTCAGAGTAAAGTTAGAGAAAATGGAAGGCGATCGAAATTTGTTAAAGACGGAAAACTCTAAGCTGGAATCTAAGGTAAGCAATAAATATTTTTTTATATGCCCAATGGACAATTCACGCCCATTCTTTATGGGAAGTTTTAATTAATCGATACGATAATGAAAGTCATTGATTTTTATGCAACTGTAATAGCTGGAAAATAAATAATGGGTGGGAAGGTATTGGATGCATAAAAGAAGCTAAATGTCATGTGACTATTTTCACTTTATCCTCAATATATATTTATTCAGACTCTTGTAAACAATTTATCATGAGATAATTAAATTGAAATGTGCAATTTGTAAACGTATATCTACATATAATATTTAATTAAAAAGTAGCATTCTCAATTATCCAATTTATGTAACTTGAAACGCGAGTATAGATTCCTGGGTGGTCAGGCTCACCGCATCTTACACCCCAACTTACGATTCCAATTACTGTAAATCTTCCATTTGGTAATTGAATCATCAATGGTCCTCTAGAAAAAAAGTAAAAGCTTGTAGCTTCGTACCGAGATAGTTAATTGATTTTATAAATTATTCATTATTTACCCGCTGTCTCCTGCAAATAGGCAAACAAAAAATGGCATTGAATATTTATTTTTGTTTTTAAAGTGATAATCAATGGGTTAGACATGTGATATCGTGATTGTAGCGTCATTGTCATGCATTTTTGAAGGTGCTTATTAAGATAAATTTTTTTAAGATGATTTAAGTTAAAAATTACAGAGGCACAGAGGTAAAGTTTCCTTTGTCATAAAAATTTGATATGCAGTTATAAAAAACAAAATTTAACAGGTTTTTGATATTTGAATTTTTAAATCTGAAATTTTTTGTCCATCTCGAAAAGTTATTCTCATTTTAAATGCTTTTCCAGTATCAAACTCGCCATCACTCTTGACAAATTAATTACAAAAAGCAGCAACAGTATTATATGATAAGTTTGACACAGATAATTGCTTCCTATTCTGTTTTAGGGACTATTTATCATTTCTATGTGTCTTAAGTAGATGGAGTATGTTTAGAAATATTATTTTTCCAATGTCATTCAAATCATATTTCTATCAATCTCCACACTTTTCTTGACCAAAGCAAAAATCATGGAATAGTGGAAAATCCCTTGACAAAGTGAATAAATAATTTTTTATCGCGAAAATTAACAAAGAAATGAGAAATTAATTCCAATGTAACTGCATGACGCATTTATGATCACGAAAATATTAATAATTTTTAACTTGCCTTGACATGAATCTAAATTTGTATCTCCAGCACATAAAACAGAATCGTAAATTCTATGAGCATATTTGGACTGACATACGCTATTTTTCCATACTGGTACTGTAACCTCCATTAAAACAGAAGAATGTGGACCACCAAAAAATTGTGTTCCCCATCCAACAACAACAGCCTTTCTACCTTCCCATTTTTCCGACAATGGAGGAAGACAAATAGGCCAAATGTAAGAGTTGAAAAGAGCAGGACGAATAATTTTTAAAATTGCAATATCATTCTCGTATGTTGCCATGTCAAAATCGACATGTTGTCGAATCTCTTCAACTCGAAAGTCTCTAAATCTTGTTTCGTTGGCTGTTTCGAAAGAATATTCGCCAAGTCTCACAAACAAGTTTTCAATTTTAATGCGATTGCTGCAATGAGCGGCACTTAAAACGTGACGATCCGTAATTAAAACGCCTCCACAAAATGCCCCAGTAGCTTTCCTCGAACTTATTAATGCAGCCATCCATGGATATTCTTTTGGATCGGCAGGTCTACCACCTGTAATTTTTGGATGCTGATTTGTTGCTACGCCACATCCACGATCTTGGTTCTCGTCCTCATTTGCATTCTCATCACCTCCTTCCTCTTCTTGTACTTGCCATGGCTCAACACGACTATCACCTGAAGCGGGAAGATCAACAGCAAATTGACTATTACGTTCTGATAAATCATCTGGACAACAAACACCAACTGCACTCCGTTCAATGATGCACAAGTAATCAAGAAACTTCCATACGTTATTTTTAATATCGCTCGTCTTACATTGCATTATGTGCTTGCAATGTCCCTTTTTACCGGATGGAGTTGTACATGCTTGATAGTTTTTATTGGGCTTATAAAAAAACATGAAAAATAATTATAATACTGTGTGCATTTATATTTTTTTAATGATTGCAACAGACCTGACGAAGATTCAGAGAAAGTAGTCGTCCAGTGCCGCTAATTGAATCTGTGTAGCGAGAATTATAATAAATTTGTTTTTAAATTATTTTAATAATATATGTGTCGTAGCTTTAAAGTAGGTCAAAAATTACTTGTCGAGTCTTCTTGTTCAGACTGTGAAGAAATTAAACTTATGCAAACAATTAAATGCGTGAGGATTAAAATATACTTTGTTGAGGTCATATTTGTATTCACTTGACCAACTATTAATTGCTGTTATTAGCTCTTCTATTTCACAATGAACCACGAATGATGAAAGTAAATCGCGACTGCCTGTTTAGAGGAAACTTTTAATTTTGATAATGTCGACGATGTAGAAAAAATGTAAACTTGCGCTAAATACGCGAGTATATAAAACAAAATGTGCAGAGAAAAAGAGAGCATGATGATAAGAATTTAAATATGTGGGAGAAATGTTAATGCAATATGTAAGTCGAAAGAAAGAGCTTTAACATGAAATCATATGTTTTTGTAGCAATTCTGTTATGTTTTTGAGATTTGCAGTGTATTGCATTAAAATAGCTCATTGCTATTATCTTAGAAAATGGAAAACAATTTGTGATTAATTTATTTATGGACTGTGTTTGTCTATGCAATTATTGTTGTGAAGCTAATAGCTAAAATGCATGGGAATTATTTGCATTCATAAAAAATGATGCATAAGTTTCGCATCAAAAATGCGTTTAGAAAAAAAGGGATGCAAACGTTTTGCATCAAAAGAGCGGTTAGAATTTTTACATTAAAAATTGCGTTCAGTAAGAAAAGATGCAAAAGTTTCGCATCAATAATACGTTCAGAAATAGTGCCACAAAAAATTATTCATCAAATTTGCATCAAAAATGCGCAAATGATTTCAATACATTCAGTTTTAATTCCTGCTTGACATATTATTTCATTGTCCGCGCGAGATCATGACTTCAAGACGCTTTCATAACTGCGTTTGCTGTAAACACTGACCTACAGCAATATTTTGAGTACGAAAATTATATGTGTTTATAATCAATTTATAATAAGAAAGACGATAATCGTGATAAATTTAAGAAGAGATTATTAAAGCTGTTCTAAAAATAAGAAGTCATTGACGCCTTAATTGATATTTTTAAACACGATGTATCTCTCATTTCCCTATTCGATATTATAAAGAGAACTGTGAGAGCAGAAGTAGTCAACTTAAATCATCATCAGTTATTTGAAAATAGATTGAGAGAAATATTTTTCAGGAAATACCAGATTCGATTATGTCACGTTTCTAAAGATCACCCCCCACTTGATGAAATTTAGATCTTCTTTTGCCTCAAGTATGAAGTAAAATATTTTGGCGCTGATCTGTTTGATGTGCTGTAGAAGAAACATGATTTTCAATGAATTGGAAATAATCCAAGAAAAGCACACTTGAGTGACTGTAAAGAAGGAAAATTACGAAATTTTTCCAATATCTGTTCCTAATTAATGGATGCTAGTTAAATCAGATATTAAATTTTTAACTGTCTAAGTTATTCATTCATGGTTGCACAGGAGAGGGATCAGTTCAATTAGACTATGACTTCTAAGCTCCGACACTATCAATCCAGAAGTTTGCTTTTATTCATACCTATTTTGAGTTTATTAACTCTTTAATTCTAAAATAAAAAGAAGGATGTAGGAGACATCGTCCATCTCTTCATTCAAAGAATTCATGGATCCGTCCCAGAATTAGCCATGATCGATTAAAAAATAATCTCAATGTGAAATATTTCTATAGCACTTTCAAGTATTACACCACAGACTATTGTACGGCAATTAATTTCTATGTCATCTGCTCTTTTGTATACAACGACAATGAGAAATTATCATAGCGTAAAAGTCATCTTTGTACATGTCAAAAATTGGCGTCAAAATTTTTCATCTCCTCCCAGAATTTCCTTAACCGAAAATAAAAAGGCAAAGTTGAGCAATTATTTTTTTTTGTGAATGAATTTTTGCCAAAACCAATCTACATGATTGTGCAATACAGCAAGCAAGCAAGAAAAAGGAGAGAAAATGTTACAATAATTAATCATTAAATGCCTCAGCTGATTTCTCATTGTGTTTCCTTCTTCATCTTCTTCGGTGGTGGTTGTTGCCGGAGCGGGAAGCGACTGTATGTATTTTATAATAATTAATGGTCTTACACTCTATTGATCATAAATATTGCGAAATATACGTGATATTATTGAAAATTGTATATACGGTACCCGCTTGCATTACGATTATTACTTAAGGCTATGGCTTGTCAAATAAGGTGACAGGAATGAAGTAAGAAAATGATCATGAACATTGTTCTGATAAAATAACATAAACTTTCACTTTCTTATTAAAAAACTGCTGATCTTTTGACTTATTTTTTGCTATAAAAAAAAAAAATGCTGTGGATGAAAGGAAATAAAAACATTTATTGTGCGGCAGAGAAATTCATTCATGCATGAACAGCATTAGATCGTGATTTGATTGACAAAAACTGATGCTCAAAGGAAAATTTCTTATGCACTTGAGGCATTAGACAGTGCCTTTGCACCATTGACCTTGCAGCGTTATGAATGTGAATCGTCTGCATGCTGAAAAAAATTAGTCTGGGACTTTAGTCAGGCATCTTAATGCGATCATTCTCTAAATTTCACATCGGACATTCGACTGAAATTAATTGAGTGTAAATGAAATGAACACGAGATTTTAGACATGAAACACTTTTGGGCTGTTAATTCGATTTAAAGGTTTTTAATTTGAGTTTTTAAAAATTATTCGTCATTATTTGAATTTTCAAAAACCGTTATAAATAGCAATTCTAAAAATATCACTGAATGCAAAACAGTCGCTGCTGTCATCAACCTCCGACGATACACTTATATTTTTACATTCTCTTCAATTCAGAACAGAGACATTTTATTCGATTGTATTCAAAATAATAAATAAAAATTTCCTTCAACTTGTTGCACGTCTCGCTTGTCGCACGTCGCGTATACGAGAAGAGATGAAAAGAAGATAGAAAAAAAGGTCGGTCGGTCGCATTTTCATTCTTAATTTAATTTTAAAATTTATTTGAACGATGATCGCGAAAAATTTCATAGAGCATTCGGAAAATTTTCTTGTGCCTTAATTATTTTTGTGTGTATGCGATCTTTGCAACAAATTTAGTCTCTGTGTTGCTTCCGCTCGCGTAAGTTGCGTGCCTTAAAACGAAAAATTGCCTATAGTACTTTCGAGATAATTGCGTTAAAGAACAAAAAAATTATTTATAAATCTTTGTGGCTAGAAATACAGCTGTAATAAGTGTCAAAATGTGACATAGCATGAAATCTTTCTTACATCACAAAAGTGTCTTCTTCATCAACAATAGCAGCTATTCACTTTCCTTGCCAATAATAAAGAAATAAGAAACAAAAAATAGTCATTAAGTGAATTTTCAATTTTCACACTCAAAACAACAGCAGAAAAATCCGAAAACAACATTCGTAGGCCGAGATAGAAAGGAGAGAGAGTTATATCCACTCGCCACCACCGCATAAAGAAAAAAAATCTCGGGCAGTAAGAAGCTTGAATCAGTTTGAAAATAATTTTGCGATTAGTCACTGGCAGTGCCGAAAAAGAGGAAAGATTTATTGTCAAATAAAAATATTTTTAACGTGGAAAAAATGAAAAGTATTTTGATGAGGAGCTAGAGACTGTTGTTGATGTGATAACAGTGTAATTTCTATTGCTGACTCTTTTCAAATTTGTTTTGCTGTGTTAAAATTAAGAGACATTTAACCAATGAATAAAGCATAATAGTGCTGTGATAATAATTATAATAAAGGAACTAGTCAGAAATTAATGATGCCTCATTTACCATCTATTTCGATGATGAATGAACGGCATCCCGTGCCTAATAATAATAATCAAACGCGATATATGGCACTGCCACCTCGTAAAAGACTTCCACCTAGACCACCAATTCGTCCATTTGTTGATGAAATGTCAGTCTTAAGTCTGCCACCAAAAAATCTCCCAAAACCAACTAGAACTGGACCTGTACAAAATGGTAGATTAAGGATACCATATTCACGATCAAGAACAGATGACCTTGCACTTTATGAACGAGGAAGAAGCATGTCACATGAGTCTTCATATGTGTCTCGCTCCCCATCTCCTGCATATTCTCATTCTACACATCGAAGTAATTCATCTTTAAGTAATTATGATTCTTGGCAATCGAGTGACAGTTCGAGGTCACGGAGCACACCTAATCGACAATTTCCACAAACATATGTTGATCATAAGCTTGACGTACATGAATATTATAAAATGGAACAATCACCGGTTGTATATGATGCAAATTTATCATTCGTTTTGGGAGTCAAACAGCCTTTAAGACAATCATTAAGAGCATCACCTGCTCATTCTGAAAAATCTACAGCATCAAGTTATCTCTCAGATCAAATATCAAGTTTTTTAAAGAGAACTGATCATGTTATGGAAGAATGGTCAGCATTAGGTCGAAAGAAAGGTGACACGGTTAGTTATATAGAAAGGACCAGAGAGGAACGTGGTAATGGTATTGGACGTTCTAAAAGTGCCGCAAATATTCAAGTCAGAGGATTCCAATTAATTAATAGTCAACCATCATTAAGACGTTCATGTTCTCGTGATATTCCTGATATTCCAAATGATCAAATCGATGATGATGATCGAACTGTATGTGATGAAGAGGTAATTTTAATATTACAGATCTGAGATTTTTTAAATTTATGACACGACAACTGTTGTTGTTGTTGTGGAAGATCGCAGTTCATTCACATTAATGCTACTCAGTTCATATAATACCTTTAATGTTATAAATTAAATGTGAAACGTTTAGGAAATGTCAAAATGGAATTAGTGCAATTTTTTGCAGTAATTTATAACGGTTCATTCATTTTTAAATTTTTAACGAAGAATTTTTGGGTTTGAAAAATTCGTTAAATTTTAACAGGTATCAGAATAAAATTTTGTCAAGTTCTTTTCAACTTTATTTTGTAAAATCTGCTGTAATTAAGTTATCGATTGTTAAGTAAACTAGAAATATAGTATGATGTATTATTAACAAGCTGAATATGAAGATATCTTGTGAAACGCAGTGTATTGTTTGTTTTAACAATTTAGTGTAGTTCATCAAATTTAATAAATTAATTGCTCAATATTACGAGAGTAAAAAGGAATCATTGGATAATTAACTGAATTTCGTTAAGGAATAGACATGATGAAAGTTTGGGTAAGTCATTAGACATACGTTTAAAGTTGCACATTGTTACGCTTCATTTAAAAAATTCAAGACAAAAATTTTTGAATGAGGATAATTATATTCACAGAATCTGTTTGCAAACAATTTGAGTCTATTTATACAGCCACAAAAAATACTTACAATTGAAGAATAAAGAAGAAAATCCTGTGTTTGTCCATGAAAAATAAATACACATTTAAAACAGGATACCACAAGAAGAAAGCTACAGAACTGACATCAAGTGCGCAGTGATGAAGGGAAATGTAGTCCAATAAATAATTCTGTATTTAATTATATTATTGAAATTAAAACGGATGGCATAAAGTTGTAGAATTAAATGAGATATCTGCATATTGTATGGTGGTGTGACTGTAGCCATTTGATATCAATCGTGCTGTTTTGCTTTGATAGGACGATAATTATAAACATAACATTATATGACAGCTATGCGGAGCTGGTACAGTAGTTATTTTTAAAACATTTTTGTTGATAAATTTTTTCCTCTTTCTCGATCTTTTGTTTAGAAATTTTAAGGCAGAAGAAGACAGGAAAAATATATAAAAAAAAAAATAAACTAAAATGACTCACTCAGCATGAAGCATGAAGAGAGAAAATTTTTATAATCTTATCGATTGTACCAAGCATAAACAGCCATGACTTTATGTGCCAAAACAATTAAACGAAAGTTGTTTTACGCAAAAGCCACTTTTTTAACGTTTTATGCCAATAATATAAAATAAGTAAATTCTCGACATTTCAGAATTTCTTCTTTGACGTCCGATCGATGATTTTTCGTCGAAATGAGCAAACTTTTCATATTTTTCATCACTTATGTAAAGCTACGGTATAGATCATAATCCGTTGAAATATCTTGAAGATTTATTGAGCTATTAGTTTCCTATAAATGTTCGATGCTCGATATTTTTTTGGAATATATCCAATGTAATTACAACAACAAATCTAATTAATGCGTGATGCTCATGATGTGGAAGTGTCTTCTTGATTAATTGTGTCAAACAAGAAGATTTATCGTCTACTCTAATTGCAAATAGACTAGAGGAAAAAAATAGAGATAGTTGCTAGATCATGTTGATGCTAGTTGTACTGATTTATTTTACTCTTATTTCATTTCGTCGGAGGAATCATGTTTCAATCCAAAAGCTATAAATAAGATTCAATATTTTTAAATTTCTCGTAATACACTTCAATTTAGAAGCTGTAATGACTTGTGCATAAATTGAGTTTTGAAGGATGTGAGTTGCTTCTATTTGATGAGTTTTTAAACATCTGTTAATTAATGAAATGGAAATTGATAAATAGTACAGACATGGTCAGTCACACATAAAAAGCAGACATAACTAGTGGACGAATCCCAAACAAAAATCTCTGATCTGTTTATATATGCAAAGTGATTTAAAACTTGTAATATTTACAGCAACAAAAAAAAATGTTATCATTCACTGCATTTTATTATACAACAGATGATGTTTTTGACTTAAATTGCTGGCACAGAATCAAGAAGAATATTTTTTTAATTTCTTTGTTTAAAAATTGAAATTTTTCCTAAAACTGACAATGTATACAGCAATTTTAAAATGGGTTTTTTGAGCCTTCCAGTCGTTCAAACTACACGCAATTTATTCAGGCGCTTGACTTTTTTTTGTTGATAAGATAACATATTTTATGATTGTTGAAGAAACTATCATTATTATTAGAATTACTTATGTTAAGCATGATGTGCAGTCATTTATTCTGTCATGCAAACAGCGATTTTAAATCTGAGGATTCAATTAAGTATCTTGTTAAATCTTAAGATTTAATTTAAGCTCGGTTTAATCATGGGATTTAATTAAATCATACGATTTAAATTTAGGATTAATTTCTGATAGTTTTTGGGAAACTTTAAAGACATTTGAACATAAGATAATTAGATAGCGGCAGTAGACAGTAGACCGAAATTATAATAGATACGAAATGTACACTCAAATATTAAACGTCATACTGCAAACAACAGCAATGTAATTACGAGAAGCAAATTAAATCTCATTTTTAAAATAATAATATTGCTAGTAAAATAAAGAGCATGTACAGTTGCAAATTGATAACTTTTGTGTATCGTTTAATTTTATTTATAAATAACATTGAAGGCAACAATTTATTTTCATCTTGTATGTAAAGTATACATTACATGCCTATTAACTTTATTTTTTTCTTACTTATTTCTAATTTAGTTATCTGAGATGACAGTCGAATTAGCCGAGGAGCATTCAACATCGAATATAACAAGTGAACGCTTAGATGCTGAACAGGGTGAACGTTTGAGATTAGGTAAAGACTTTTTTGCAAATTGAAAATTTTCCATTCCTTAAAACATTGTTTTTTGTGCATTTTTTTACAGAAAAAGAACTCGATGAACAGCAATCGAAATATCGTAACCTTCAAGAAGCGTCGGAAAAATTAGAAATGGAACTAATTTGTGCGAAATCAGATTTGAATGGGTAAGTAAATACAATTTTCCGATTAGTATGTGATTTATTGCCGTATATTGAGCATTCACTGCCTGTTCATGAGAAATTTTGCAACAAATGAACAGTACTTGATAAAATTCCTCCAAAGATTATTATGTACATAAATTAATTAATTTAATTCATTGTTTTAGTGTTCTGGAGGACGAAGATGCTGACAATGACGAAGGTGGCAATAATACTTACAGACTCAAATACGAGCGTGTCGCACGAGAACTTGAATTCACAAAGAAGCGCCTTCAAACGCAGCATGAACATGACTTGGAACAACTTGTCGGACTTAAAAAGCAGCTTGAAAAGAAACTTGCCGATGCATATGAAGAAGTTGAAGAACAGCGACAAGTTGTTGCGCAATGGAAGAGAAAGAATCAAAAAATGACAAATGAAATGAATGATTTGAGAATGTTGCTCGACGAGCAAAATAGTCGCAATAATTTGCTAGAAAAACGCCAACGGAAGTTTGATTCTGAATGTCAAGCATTACAAGTAATTATTATCATTATTTAACTTTTAATTATTTTTTTTATGACTCAATTAATTTCTGTAGGATACTGCGAGACAAGAGAAACAGTCAAAAGAAAGATTATCGCGTGAAAAAGATGTTCTAATTGCCGAGAAATTCCAACTAGAACAAAAACTTGAAGACACTCGCCTTGAATTGGAACTTAAGGAAGAGAAAGTCTCAGCTCTAAATAGAGAACTAGAGGAACTGACATTCGGTGGGAATACAGAAGAAGAAATTGCACAATTAAAGAGATCCAAACTTGAATTTGAGAAACGTTGTAAGGAACAAGAGGAAGAACTTGACGAAATGGCTGGTCAAATTCAGGTAAATTTTGAATCCAAAAATAACGGATTTTTAAAATTTGAAAATAATGTTTTTAGTTTTTTGAAACTCGTTAAAATGCAACAACTTGATTTGAATTTTTGAAAATTGTTAAATATCAATTTAATTTCTTTTCAGCTTCTCGAGCAAGCCAAATTACGTCTTGAAATGTCATTGGAGACAATGAGGAAAGACTCAAAACGAGAGGCACAGCAAAGAGATGATGAATTAGAAGAAATTCGAGGATCATCATATAAGAAAGTAAAGGCTTTAGAATGTCAACTTGAACAAGAGCATGAAGAAAGAACTTTGTTGCTCAGAGAGAAGCATGAATTAGAGAGACGATTGAATATGTTCGAGGATCAAGATCGTCTTGATAGAGCCGCAGAAGAAGCAGCAACACAGAAATTAAAGAAGGATTTGAGAAAATGTAAAGCTCTCCTTCGTGACGCTCAAACTCAACTGGAACGTGCCAAGACTGATTCTGCTGGAAAGGCACTCATTCGACAATTGAAAAATCAACTAGATGATGCAGAATCCGCAAGAACGATTGCTGTAAAGGCACGTCAAACTGCAGAATCAGAATTGGCAGATTTACAGTCAACATTTGAGGAGAATCAACGTGCCAAATATGAGGCTGAAGAGAAAGCAACGGCTGCACAACGCAATCTCGCAGAATTGCAAGCTCAAATTGATGAGAATGAAGAAGAAATGGCAGAACTTATGAAGAAATATAGTGCGACTGTGAAGCAATTAAGTACTGAGCAATCAGCTATTAATGACTATGAAATTAAGATATCAGAATTAGAATCCGAAAAGAATTCGATGAAGGAGCAAATTGCTGAACTTACAGCACGTCTGGATAATTTCGAGAGTATGAGTGATCCAAATTCAAACATACAAAATAAGAGACTTGAATTAAGAACTAAGGAATTAGAATCGAGATTAGAATTTGAGCAAATGACACGAGCACGCCTTGAAGTTCAATGTAATCGCTTAAAAGATAATGTTGAAAGAGTACAAAATGAGGTGGCTCAAGTCAGAATGAAGGAGGCGCAGGCACAAGAAGCATACAAAAAGGCACAAAAAAGCTTACGTGAATTACGTGACGAGTTCCATGTCATTTCAAATCGCGAACAAGAGTCTATGACTCGACGAAAAGATATTGAGAAGAAATTGGAGTCATCGGAAGCGGAAGCAGCATCAGCTCGAAGTGATTTACGACTGGCACTACAACGAATTGCTGATTTACAGCAAGCATTAGATGGAGAGGATAGCGAAGCCTCTGGAAGGTAAGCATGATTTTTTTTTAAAAACATTAAGGGTTATTTTAGAAAATTGAAAAAAAATTTTAACGTTAGATTTTAGAAAGTCTTTAATTAATTTATTTGTTTCTAGTGATGACAGCGACGTTTCATCCGACGACTCAAGTGAGATAGATGTCCGTTTTCGTCCATCGTCGACATCGTCCAAGACGCTCCTTACAAATAATCACAGTGAAAAAAGTTCGTTAAAAGATTCCAAAAGCTTAAATAATCACAATGCGAATAACTTTACTAATAATAATTTAAATAAAAATAACATAAGTAATACTTACGAAGAACGAGACAATACACCAAGGTAAGATTCAGTGAATTACCCAAATGTGTTCTGTGGATGTGGACTTTTTAACTCCCTTGGATTGGCTTAAACACGATATATATACACACACTTATGAATATAAACAAACTATTAATCCTCAAAAAAGAAAAAAATTAATCCAAAAATATTAATAATTATAATAATGATAATGTTAAATGCACCTGTATATTTATAATCACATAAACAATAACTAGCTTTTCCTATATATTTGACTAACCCACAAAATCCGTCAGCATTGATTGAATCACATCAGTTTTTTCCCACTCTAGAATTACAATTACTGCATCTACAACTTACACGAAAACGGAAATCATTGGAAAAGAAATGAGTGCCACAATTGAGAATTCTACGAACGGAAGTGATTCATTTGTTTAAGACCCGTGATCTAAAATAATTAATACGATTAGAACTGGAGATGATCATGATGATTTTGTTAAATTGCAAATTTATTAAGGAATGAATTGTCAAAAAGGAGGATCAGAATTATTTTGGTGATCGATGCTTTGAAAAATGTGTCAAATTTGTCATTAGGATAGTCTTGATACACAATAATAAGATTATTTTGAACTCTTTAGTGTCAATGTTTTCAAAGCATAGATCTCCAAAATTTTACTGATCCAACTTTAAGGATGCATGATTTTATATAAATTGATTAAATTGTAAGACACGTCTCAAGACGAAAATGGATGCTTAAATTCATCAAAATATATTATTTTAGGATGGATATAATGAAGATTATAATAATTTTTTTATAATTGAGGAACTTACTAGTGTTTTAATTAGATCAAAAAAAAAAGTAAAAAGTAAAAAAAGTTTTAATAATTTTATGCTGTTACATTAAATGTTTAACGATAATGTTTAGTTGAATTTTAAGTTCTTAAACAGCAACAATGAAACAAGAAGCATACATAATCATTATTAGATTAATTTAATTAAGTGATTTTCTGTGAGAAAATATCATTTTTTTCATCTATTCTACTCTATTTTACTCTTATGACTTATTGTGTATAAAAAAATATATGGGCAAGATCAAAAATGAATTGTTCGTGACGCTGAGCAATAAATTACAATTTTCAAATCCTTAATGCAAATAATGCTGATCAGCTTATGTTTTTCTAAAAGCTCTCGCCAGGACCTGCATTTTGGTATATAACAAGTGGCATTTTGACATTGTGCTATAGTTAAAAAATTAAGTTAAAGTGCTAAGCGTCACGAACAATTTTAAGGAAATTCGATTTTACACTATGTTGCAAATGCAATATCTCTGCAACTAATAAACCAATCTTAAAAATTCTTTCACCAAGGAATTAAAAATTTGTGGCAGTAAATGTATAGAATAAAAAATTTAAAATTGCGGCTTCATAAGTTAGCTTAATTAACGTTTTAAATGTTTTGGTTGAAAATTCCATATGAAGAAAACAGTTTAGGAACTAGCTGTGTTCACAAAAAAGGTAGCAAATATGGTTTTCCTTAAGCTTATTGAAAAACATTTCAAGTTCTACTTTAATTAACAAAGTTACAATGAATTTTAGAAAACTAGATATAACTTTTTGCTGTTTTATTGTTCTAATGATTTTTCAATGTAAAACTATAGCAAAACATAAGATGCATCTTGTTGCAAAAGAAAAAAAATTAAAGTATTTATGGAAAGCCTTTAAAATCATAAAATGTTAAAAAGATTAACCAAGAAAATTGTAACAGTTTTAATAAATTCAAAATTCTTATGAAATTCTGAGCGAAATTGAGCAAAACATGTTGCTCAATTAAAATTGCAATGTTTTTGAGTTAATTTAACTCATTTTAATGCCTTTTACAGATACAATTTCTATAGAAAATGACTTTTTAGCTACTTATTAATTGATTTCAGTCAATTAGAGTTAATATTTTCGGTTAAAAAGCGATTTATTCAACAAATTGAGTTTTAGTTAAATTAACTTAATCTATTCAGTTTTTTGAAGTCACAATACGATGTTTTGATAGAAAATATCAAAATCTACAACTTTTGTGAAGATCTTGAACAACCAACTTGCTTCCTTCATATGAAAAACTCTACTTTAAATATTAATTTGTTAATTAAAGTAACTTATAAAGTCGCCATTTTAAAAAATAAAACAAAAAGTTAAACTTTTTGAAATTAACTATCGACCTGTGAAAAAATCATTAAAATTGGATGCTCGCAAGCAGAGAAATCAGCATATAAAGTTTTTTTCCCTTTTTTTCTGATCTTGCCCATATGCTTTTTATGATTTATTTCACTTCATTTACTATTTTATTCTATCTGGGATCTGTTCATAAATGACGTTTATCGAAAATTGGGCACTAATTTGATGAAAATTGTCATTAAGACAACGTTTTTCAAAGATTGAATAGCTAGACGTCATTTATGAACCGACTCCAACCTTCATCAATTGCTAAGTATTTGAATTCTATGTTTTCATTCATTATTAATGAAAACAAGCAGAATCGGTGCTGATTAGTCACTGATTTGTATCCTTTTAATTTAAATAAAGGCAAACATTTATGTTACATATTATTATGTTTTGTGTTTTTATCATTTCCTTACATCGTCGACTCTTAATTTTATTATTATTTTCCTTACAGCTTCTTCATACAGCAAAATTCGTCGTCAAAAAAGTACAAAATTTTTAATAAAATGTTCTTTTGGATAAAGAAACATGAGGAAATCCAGTAGATTTTGATAATTAACGTACATTTTTGTAAACTCGTATTTTATAGCTTATTGAATATTTAATATAGGGTAAACCATGTTGAAATTTGTGTGTTTTTGCACATGAAGATTTGATTTGCATGTAACTTTTTAATGGCTCATTGTAAAAATTTACCAATAGTCACAAACGACCAGAAATCGTTGACAGTTTTGGTTTTTTAAACTTTTTAAAGGATGTGCTGCTTAAAGAAAGAGAAATTTGATAATTTTGGTCATATGTTAAAATTTGTGCAGAAAATTTTAAAATTTGTGCGAAAAAATGTTGAAATTTGTGCGTTTTTTTAATAGCAATCTTTGACATTTTTTCAATTTTAAAATGTAAACAAACATTTATTTACAATTTTTTTGAACCTTAATTATTGTTTTTTTGTAAAGGAATACCATTGAATCCAAACTTCAAACCAAATTAGGAATACTCAGCTGATTTATTTAAAACTTATTGCTCAAGAATTTTCGCAAGCTTCAAAATTAAATCAAGTAATGTCAACTGGAATTATTTATGTCGTGAAAATATACATAACACAAACATGTCCTGAATTTTAGGAGTTTTTTGACAGCATAGCATGTACAGATTTATTGTAATAAATAAAAGAATATTATGAAATTTGGGAAATTTAATTTTTTTTTATTTGAAGGGTTGATTTAAACTTGATACAGAATATACTTCTTCAGCACTTTATATCGATTAATCGTTTTTGAATTTTTCGGAGTTTCTTTTGACTTTTTCCTATAAAAAAGCACTATGCAATATTTCTCTACTTGTAAAAATTCAAATTTCCCAAAACCGTTATAATTTCTAAACGTTTTGTTGTTTATTCGAGTGAATTAGCCGCAATACCATCAAAGAGAGATGGTTCAAATATACATGATCTTTAATGTTTTGAAACTTTAGTTACTTGCTCAATTAAATCAAATAAATGTAATAAACTTACAAGTAAAATCAAGAAAATCTAATGGTTTTTGTGAATTTGAAATTTTTTCAGTGTTCTGTTTTGCAATAATCGGTCAAAAATTGACCGATTAATGCTAGTTTTTTTGATTTTTCTTCTTAATTAAAGCATTAAGGAATGCAAATTATACATAAAACAAAAGCCTGGCTAATATCTAATATGTTAAAAGTAACTTTGGAACATAGAAGTGTGTATTTAAGTAAATATTAGGAAATGTTTAGAAAACGATTTTTCGAAAACTTGACCGATTAATTTTACTTTTATTAAAAAAACAAGAATTAGACATATTTCTGATGTGAAACTCTCACATATGGAGATAAATATTGTGTTAATAAACATAATAAAGTTACAATTTGGAGTACAAAGTTCTTAGTTAAGGAAATATTTTTGAAAAATTGGAGCACTAAAATTTTTTTCACTCATGGAATTACCCTAAAGCAATTAGGAAATTTGATTTTTCATCTCTACTTTACTAATATGAAGCACCAATTATGTCCCAATTATTAAAAACATGAAAATCACAATTTTGTATAGGAATTCGAATCTTTCAAATATAAAGCTGTTTAAAGCTTTAAGCCTATCCTAAATGACCTAGAAACATTTGAACATTAGTTTTACGTAGAACTGCAAACAAATGTTAAGTATAAATGGCTTAATTTGGAGGATTTATTTTCAATGTGAGTGCACAAATTTCAACATTGCACAAATTTCAACATGGTTTACCCTAATTAAATTGTCCAAATTTTTTAAAATTTATTTAAGGGTAATTCCATGAGTAATGAGAACTGTGAAAAAGCACTATGCAATATTTCTCTACTTGTAAAAATTCAAATTTCCCAAAACCGTTATAATTTCTAAACGTTTTGTTGTTTATTCGAGTGAATTAGCCGCAATACCATCAAAGAGAGATGGTTCAAATATACATGATCTTTAATGTTTTGAAACTTTAGTTACTTGCTCAATTAAATCAAATAAATGTAATAAACTTACAAGTAAAATCAAGAAAATCTAATGGTTTTTGTGAATTTGAAATTTTTTCAGTGTTCTGTTTTGCAATAATCGGTCAAAAATTGACCGATTAATGCTAGTTTTTTTGATTTTTCTTCTTAATTAAAGCATTAAGGAATGCAAATTATACATAAAACAAAAGCCTGGCTAATATCTAATATGTTAAAAGTAACTTTGGAACATAGAAGTGTGTATTTAAGTAAATATTAGGAAATGTTTAGAAAACGATTTTTCGAAAACTTGACCGATTAATTTTACTTTTATTAAAAAAACAAGAATTAGACATATTTCTGATGTGAAACTCTCACATATGGAGATAAATATTGTGTTAATAAACATAATAAAGTTACAATTTGGAGTACAAAGTTCTTAGTTAAGGAAATATTTTTGAAAAATTGGAGCACTAAAATTTTTTTCACTCATGGAATTACCCTTAAGAATAAAATGATGCTTTAAACCTAAAGATTTAATAATTTAATCCCGAGATTAAAAATTTAAGTCGGATTAATCTTTGTTTAAACTTTAGCTGTAACGATTTAAAACTAATTGGCTATAAACAGTTTTGATGGACTATATAAACTAAATAGAATAGGCGTTGAGTTTAAATGTCGAACATTGTTATAGGATATGACTTTTTAAGTGACTCGAATTTAATTTATTTTCAAAATTTTGTTGACTTGTCTTAGTCAAAAATCTCTTTTGTGATCCTTTTCATCTATGAATCTATAACATATTAGTAATAGCTATTTATTATACTATGAACATAAATAAAATTTTTGGAAATTGAACTGACTGTGCTTTTATTTATTTTATTTTTTTACTTCTCAAATGACGTCACTATCAAGTTTTGATCAACAACAGTTTCAGAAAAGTCATCATCTAGAATCATTCGGGGTAAGTATGTAACAAAATTACTCAAAAGTTTATTTATTTAAGAAAATGGTTGATTTTAATATTTTATAGTGGGTTATGATCCAACCCACTTTATTTCATTAATTAAAAATAAAATTTTAAGTAAAACGAGTAAAACTGTAATAATTTGGAATAAATAAAAACACGACTTACGTAGAAAGTCACTAGCTTCTGCGTTTGACTTATGTTA